TCACCGTGGCTTGTCTTTGGTGCCCGGCGGAGGCAGGGGCTCCCGAGTGTCGGCTGTCCGGACAGAGAAACTCGTGCACCCACCGTACACGAGTATCTCTGCCCGGGCAGCCGACACTCTGGGGCCTCTCGCGTCCGCCGGGCATCAAAGACAAGCCACGGCGACAGCAGTGACGGCGGTGGCAGTGACGGCAGTGACAACGACTGCAAATGACTATTGTAGTGTTACGCACGGTTTTCGCTATCCGCGGCATCGACTACAATGATGAGTCCAGGCATGTTTACTATGGTATCTACCGAGTGACTACGGATGATTCTTCACCGCTGCTGTTCCCGGTAGAGGGGTGCATGCCCCTGCCGCGATTCTACCGCGTGGCCCCTGTTTGCCTGGCCTCGTATTGCTCCCAGACCTGCGTTGAGTTTTGATTTTGTTTTTGAAACGCCACCCACGGTGTGAAACCGCAGTGTGGCCTGCCACCGTCGGGCAAAAAAGTGTACCCTTTTCACACCGCCCGTCGTACCGTTTGCCGTAGTCTGCCTGTCTGCCGGATCTTGGTTTGCGACGTCTGGGCAGTAGTCTACATACGCAGGTTTTTCTAAGCAACAAGCAATACTGGATGACCGTCGAAGTTGGGGTTAGGGTCTGTGTGCCCCCTGCCTGTTTATTTTCGTAGGCAGTCCCGTCTGGACCTGCCCGCCCACTGGTGCCGTTGTTTGTTTTTTCCGCCCCAGGTTTCTTCCTTGCCCCCGTTTGGGTTTTGTCGCTGTTGTAATGTTTGGTGCTTGCTGTTTTGTCGGACTTGTCTGATTCGTCCTCGTAATGTTGTTGTGCTGGTTTTGTGTTTGTACCCTCCCCCGCCCCGGGGTAATTTTTGTTTCTTGTGGGAACAACGCTCCGTTCTCTCGAGGACGCGCGGTCAATGACCTAACCGCTAAGGCATGCAAAACATAAGAGTACCCCCCCCCCCCCCCCCTTGCCCCCGCCCGGCGTTTTTGCTCTCTCGGTGATAGGGCGATAACCGGGCTAGAGGCGTGCACTTTGCTGGAGGAGCTGTGGCTTGGCAAGAACAAGATCACCCAGATCGGTGGCATCTCCACGCTAGTAAGACTGAAGAGGCTCGACGTCCAGAGCAATAGGTGAGAATGAGCTAGTGGTCGTGAACGTAGTAGTGGTAGAAGTAGTAGTAGTGATAGTAGTAGTTGCTGCGTGTGGTAGGGTTGGTGGTGCTTGTCCTGTTGTTTTATTTTGTCGTATTGTAGTTCGGCTGTCACTTGCTGTAGGCGCAGTAGTTGTGTTTGTTGGCTGATGGTGGATGGTGCTTGTTCTGTTGTTTTATTTTGTCGTATTGTAATTGGGTTGGAGTAAACGGCACTATTTAGTGCTGTGAGCGCTGATTTCAAGTGAAGACAAAAAAAAAAAAAATGTAATTCGGCTGTCACTTGCTGTAACCGCGGGTCCTGTCTTGAACACCGTGTGTCGAACGGAGTATGGAGGCGCCGGGTAAAAAACTCTAGAACGATTTTTGCAACAAGAACGACGGCAGCCAGCATTTCAGCACCGAGCGAGACGATATTAATAGTTGGCTTCAATCTGCGTGTTATATTCTCCACCATGCCGTAGTCCAACCCGGATGATGGATACCTCCAAGTCTTTTTTTGCGGGTACCCATGAACTTTCCCTCGTAAGCGCTCAACATCTCTAGAGGTACAAGCCTTTGACCAGCCCATTCCCGAAACGCTTGTCCTCGCACGATTCCTTGATGCGCTTCCCAGCGCGGGTCCAATAACAACGATTGCTTAGCCAGAAAGCTCTGGATGTGGAGAGATGGATCATGAGAGTGTTTTAGTAGTCGTGGTACTCGTAAAACAAAAACAAAAAAAACGAAGGGAAACCCAGCCACCGGATCGGATCAAGACCCTCCGCCGTCCCGACGGTCATCCCGCATGTGTGTGTGTGTGTGTGTGTGTGTGTGTGTGTGTACAATGTACGTGCGTCGTGACAATCGTTCTTGGAAATCGGCCCGTGCTTCGACGCGGCCGCCGACATGCAGCACAGCTGCTTCGGACATGGCGGACATGGAATCCTGGCGTTCGTCGTTGAGAGGTGTAGCGCGACGTTGGCTCATCGTGCCGTGCTGAGCCAACAACGGCACGCTATAGACCCCTCACCCGCAACAAACGCCCGGGATTCCACGCCTGAAGCAGCAGCTGCATCTCCACGGCACCACGTCCCCCAAGTACGGCTGATGTCGTCGACGCACGTACACACAGACGCACACACGTGGGGATGACGAAAAAAAAAGGGGCCGCAGCGACTATTATCATTACCGTCCCTGATCTCAGAGCCGATGAACTCGGCCTAGGTTGTCGAAACTATCGATGTGCAAATACTGTATTTACCGATACCCGAGAGAGATATAAAGAACGTCAAAAGATAAAAGGCGATCGCGCGGCTTAGAAAGGATGTAGCTGTTTAATCGGGTACCGAATTGGAGAGCCACCGTGGTGCCCTCATAGATAGCACAAGTTGACTAACGACGGGAGGAGCTCCTCTTCCGCATCCGGGGAACAAGTCGGACTGAAAAATAATGACCCCGATGTCGTCAATGAGCTCGGTATGTACGGCCGCGGTGCACCCGTCGGTCATCGAAATCCAAAGATGAAACGGCAGTAGTGGTGGCTTCGATGCAAGAGGGAGGGTTTTGTGACAAAAGGCCCTCGACCCTCTTATATCGGAGCCTCGTCTACCAGTTTAAGGGGATACCGTAAGGTTGCGAGCCAGCGCACAGGGGTGCGATCCATTCTCAAAGCGTAATTTGTCCACAACCAGGAAGGTGCGAGCGCCAACTGATGCTTCTCAGGAAAGCTCTCCGTGAGATATTGCCAAAAGCGCCCCTTTCGACAGCAGCGGTAACCTCCTGGTTGTGGAGAAATTACGCTCTGAAAATCGTTCGCATCCCTGTGCGCTGATTCGCAGCCTTACGGTACCCAACTATACTTTACATGTAGCGGATCGAGCCCGTGACGATCGATTTGGACCCTCTGATATCGGAGCCCCCTCTTACAGTATAAGGTACGCTCGTATGTCGGAGCCACGACGGCTGTACATAGAGCGGAACACTGTACCAGGTAAGAACCATCATCAATCAATCAATTTATCATGCAAGGACGGACGCCTCTCGACTACTTCTATTATTCATATAGTGCAATAGGCACCCTCCCGCCGGAAGTACGGCCGCAGATACCGTCGGTGACGTAGTATATCACCCCCCCCCCCCCCCCCTGGATCGATTTTCACGGCTACATTACTCTACGGAAGGGGGCGTATACGTCAAGCGATGCGTTTTCGGAAGGCCTTGATGAAAGACGCTTCCAACGCCGCCAATTATTTTGGCACCGCCACCCTTTCTGCGGTTGGGAAATCAAGCTCTGAGAATCTATCTTACAGGGGGTGCGGTAACTAAAAACGTCATGCCGCCCACGGTACGTACGCGTTCGGAACACGTCACAGTTACAGTTTACCGAAGACATATTATTGGAGGATACTCCGAAGATACCCCGAAGATATACGTCCGTGGAACAGCAGTCACTCTGGCTTCTCGAACAAACCACGACACGTGAGTGCCACACAGCAGTAGGCCTGGGTGGTGAGAATGACTTAGTCCATGCGACGAACACCCTCCGTGGTTGATTCTGTACATGGCCACGGGGAGCTGCGAAGCACCGTGAAGAGACCCTTACCTACGTACAATTGCATTGCTAGTCAGCGGAGGGGAGGAGGGGGGATCTACCCTTAGCGATGTGGTGTGGGGTCAGTCACGCGCCCTGGCGCTCTTTTCCAGCGGAGGAGGAAAATCGTTGGGTTGGTGATTTGAGCTTTTTTGCCGAATCACCAAGCCCAGCAGAGAGAACACCGAGACGTGCTTCGATTATTCGCCACCTCTGTCCAAGAGCATTGCGCCTTTGTCTGTCTCTGTTGCACGTCTACACACGTTCAACGGTATTCTCGCCGCTTTCCTCCGTCGCTCTTGCCGTGGCCGTGCACCCCGTGACCCGAACGGACGGCCCCGCGGCAGGCTGACCGCCATCGAAGGGCTGGAGGGACTGACGGAGCTGAGGGAGCTCTACCTCTCGCACAACGTCATCGAGAATGCCCACGGACTCGAGTCGCAGGTGAGAAAAGAAAGAAAGAACCACGACGCCACCTGTTTTTTTTGTTTTTGTTCTCGCTGGCATTTATTTCGCAACCTTTCCGCCCAGGCTTGCACCACGGGCAACGACACTGCTCATGTCCCCCCCCCCCCGGGTGATGATGTTGACCTTCGCATGCATCACTCTATGTATGAGTGTGTGTCTGTGTGTTTTTTTTGCGTGATCGATATATCTTGCAATATTGTTGTAGTGTACAGAGTTGCGCTGCAGACGAAGGCTGGCACGCGTCGTGCTACATCAAGTTTCTGATTTGTTTATCCCGTAGGCTGGTACACGTTGTGTCCAGCCAGCCGATGAATTGGCGGTCGGTGCTGGACGGGCGTACGCACGGCACACACGCAGACAGGGGTCTAAGGAGGGAGGGGGGACGGGGTACCCTTGTAGCCGGCGCGAATTCGCTGAGTGATGTCGATATCTGGTCTTGCAATACCCCCCCCCCCGAATACCGGTCCCCCCCCGGTGTTTGCCATCGGGGTTGGGTTTTCGTCGCTTGGCAACGACGTTGTAAAACAAGCCGCCCCCCCCGGTGTTTGCCATCGAGGTTTGGGTTTTCGTCGCTTGGCAACGACGTTGTAAAACAAGCCCCCCACTCGGTGTTTGCCATCGGGATTGGGTTTTCGTCGCTTGGCAACGACGTCGTAAAACAAGCCAATTCGCTTCGTGAACTCGGCAACCAGGTTACCTTTTTTTTTTTTTTACCTCGTTTTTTTTTTTGGCGGTAACCATAATGGTGGTCGAGTAGATCATGTTGTGCGGGGTCGAGAAACCTCACTCCGCGCAACGGGGGATGATCTCACCACGTTGTGTTAAAATGGTCAAGCACCCTCGAGGCAGTTACACAGTGCTTACAACTGTCTCTGGAAGTGAAAGCACCAGAAAATAAATTAAGTCATACGTAGCTGTCATCCGTACGCAAGGAAGTAAGCACAAGATGCCGAACACCCTTAGCAGGATGCAGCTCACCCTTCATGCGAATCGCCAAATACCTCACGGCGCTTCGCGCTTGGTGATGTGAGAGCCTGGTCCGGTGAGAACCCGGCGTGCTCCGTCCCGGCTTTGTAGGGATGCGAGGCCAATGGTCTAACGACTACGGCATGCACGACTATGAGTACACCCCCCCCCCCCGAATACCTCACGGCGCTTCGCGCTTGGTGATGTGGGAGCCTGGTCCGGTGAGAACCCGGTGTGCTCCATCCCAGCTTTGTAGGGATGCGAGGTCAAAGGTCTAACGACTACGGCATGCATGACTATGAGTACACCCCCCCCACCCTGCAAAAGAAAGTGATTTTCCCTTTTTTCCCCGGCTGGTGCGTCAAACGTGTACCCAAAGCTGTACCCGTAGGTGACATGGTGTTAGATACCACCCCCCCCCTGGACCTATGTTCGAAGCTCGGTTTGTCCACAGCAGAACGAGCGGCGGTGCCGGAAAAGGCGATGTTGGAGTCGTCTCGTCGAGAGCATTCCGACAACGTATGGTTTTCATTTTTGCCATGCTCTTCGCCGTGGAAAAAATTCCGATAACGTGTGGTTTCACTTTTGTATCGTCTTCGTCGTGGAAAAATCGAGCTTTGAAAGTCGGTTCAGGGGGAGGTGGTATCTTCTGCCACGTACGGTAGACTGGCGCCGGGAGTCGGTGGGACGAGATACATAAAATCTCCTCGCCTCAATCGTGGATACGCGGGGACGGTATCCGTGTATGGCGATGCTTCTTGCTGTGCGTCTTGACGAAAGTGACGTGGTTATTCGTATGGGCGATAATGCTTCTTGCTCTGCGTCTTGACGCGAGCGATATGGCAATGCTGCTTTTGCTGTGCGCAAGCGACAGCAGCCCCTTCTTGTTCTTCGATTTCTCGTAATTTTCGTCGGTGCTACAAATATGCATCACACACCCCTTCGCCCTTTTCTTCGGCACCGTGGTTGACACATGAAGGGCTTCTCCCCCTAGCCACCCAATCACTGCTGTCTCCATCGTCTTCATTGTTTTCGTCGTCGTCGTCCAGAGTTGATGCCACCATCCAGAAGAGTTGTGTCTTTTTATGGCTCGCTGACTCATCATGTTGGTACTTTTGTTCAAGTTGGGGGGCCGTTTTGTGAAAGACTGCTGCTGTGATTTGCGCGTGCCCCCGGCTGACCTAGACTCCCCCGCCTTTTTTTAGATCCCCCCTCGCCAGTTTGACCTGCATGCCGCCGCCCCTTTGGTCGAAACTACAACAGTTAGTTTTGCCCGTGTGTTTATCTTTCGAGCTGGTGATCATGTTTATCTTTCGAGCTGGTGATCCTGTTTATCTTTCAAGCCGGTGATCAGAAAGGCACCGAAGACGGTGCTCCCGTCTGGTCCGGCTTGCTTCGTGCACCTGCCTGTGCAAAAGTTTTGTCTCCTATACCCACTATTTTGGGGGCGAAAACCACCGGTACACACACGCGGCCGGGGTTGTGCTGCTGCTGCTAGTGTCGCCGTTGGTCGTGCTTTGTCGTTACATTTCGATGATGCATACATACATGCATACATGTCGCCGGCCTCCGCGTTGCGTGTCCCCCCTCGCCCCGTTTTTTTTTTTTTTTTGTGAAGGTTAACCTGGACACGCTGGACCTGTCGAGGAACAAGATCGACAGCTTCGACGGCCTCCAGCACCTCGGTCAGCTCACAGACCTTTGGGTAAGAAAAGTATGTTCGTTCGTTCAATGATGTGAACGTTTAGGACTTTGTTTTTTGGTGTTGCTCTTGTTCTGTGGACCGGGTCTTTTGATTGCTTTCGTTTAGGTGGCCCCTCCGTCTGCCATTTCTTGCGGTGTATCCTCTCGTGCGTTCTAGCGCAAGGGAATGGCCCCTGTTTTTTTTTGTCTTTCTCTCTTCCAGTTTCCTAATCACCCCCCTCCTGCCAACCGCCATTCTTCCCAAGCCCTTGTCACCGCCTAGAGGTGGCGCGTCAACGCTGATATGATATAACCCTGGTCGGATCTGTGCACGGACGAGCGCTAGATGCGTGACTGTTTATGCGTGTGGTTGATTCGTCATGGGTGTTTCGTCGTTTCGCTTGTCCTTTTCCAGATGAGCGGCAACCTCATCTCCACGTTCGAGTCCGTGGATGCCCTCAAGCCCCTGGGGAGCCTGACGTGCCTGTACCTCGAGCATAACCCCCTGTACACGTGAGAAATAAAACGTTTTTTTTTGTGTCCGGTTTCTTGTCTTCCTTCCCTCCGCGCCGCTGTTGGTTGATGGCATTCTTGTTGGTATGCATGCCTGTATATACCGAAGAGGAATCCTCTCCTGTACCCGTTGCGTTTGGCAGTCCAACTGGTACCGGTGTGGGAGACACACAACACCCGTGGCTGTAGTCTCGAGACAAGACGGCACTGGTAAAGCTGTGAGGCGGTGTGCGTGCCTATGTACCATGCGATGGCGAAGAGGACCCCTCTCGTTAACCCGTTGCGTTGGGCAGCCCGTGATTGTTCTGCTGTCCAACTGGTACCGGTATAGGGAGCCACGACACCTGTGGCTCTAGACACAACAACTGCGGCTGTAGACTCCAAACGTGACGGCACCCGTAAAGCTGCGCGGCGGCATGTTTACTCGTGATCGGTACGAATGGTTTGGCGACTGTGAGACGAATCATCCACCTGCAACAGCAGAGCGTGTTTTTGTTTTTTTTACGTGCTTCACCTCTGGCAACCACCATCTCATGCCGCCCGCCCCCGCCCCCCCCCATCTCCCGCCCGCCCCTCAACATGGTTGCCACTCCTCTACCTTGCGGCGATGCATGGTAATCGGTTAGGGACTTCGAGTACCGCAAGAGGCTGGCGGTCGTGCTGCCGACGCTAACCCAGATCGATGCCACGGCCGTCGCTCGCTGATGACTTGTCCACTCGGCCCTGCATAGCGCACAACGATTAGTCTCATCCTGTTGTTGTTGTTGTTGTTGTTGTTGTTGTTGTTACTGTTGTTGAAAACACGCCTCCTAGAATGATCCCGAGCTCCGCTTTTGCAGGGTCAACGAACGCTCCCGCGCGCGCGGGGCTTACATTTTTTCTTCTTGTGTTGACGATGTATGACGACGATGATGCTTCTGCGCGTGGGCTTTCCGGCTGTAGAGCGGCGACAATTGAAGTTGTTCCAGTGGTTTTGATCTTGTTGCCAAGGGATATTGGTGAGAGCGTTTGGCTGGGGGGGGCGGGGGAGGGGGTCGTCATTCCGCGTGGCCCCTTGGTAACGCGTTCACTTTCCTGCCGAGAACAACAATGATTTCTCAGTGTGATGGATTCTGTATGTTTGGGGGGGGTGGTATGGTCGTGTACGTCCGCGTGGCCCCTTGTAGCATGGCCCGGAAGGAAGCTACAAGAGCGCTTGTCCCCTGGGGGATGGACATCTGCCCCCAGTTTCTTGCCGGCTGTGATGTGTGGTGTTTCGCTGTCGCGTGTTTTGCTGCCACCCTGGTGTGCAATAGCCCCCCCCCGGCCCCCCCCCCCACTGGGTTTGTTTT